GACCAGGAGTCGGAGGCCGAGCTCGCGGAGTCGGACGTGGGCGCCCTCGAGGAGCTGAACTTCAATGAGGACCAGGCGAATTATGTCTTCGCGATCCTCGAGGGCCGCTTCGAGAGGAAGAAGAGGACCTGGAAGGAGAACAAGGCGTACAAAGCAGAGATGCGGAAGGACCGCGGTAGCTTCGTCAAGGGCATCTCTGGCGATCATCCTCGAGGAGCAGGCGGTGGTCTTCCTGGAGCAAGAGATCCCCGAGACCGAGGACAGAAAGGGTCTGGACGTCAGAGGCTTTCTCGGGAACAGATGAAGAAGATCTCAAGATGCCGGTTGTGCGATAAGAAGGGTCACTGGGCTGAGGACTGTCATCTCTCGAGGCCTCAGGGTTCGTCAACTCTCACCACTCAGCGGCCCACCGGCTTTTGCTACCTTGGCCCTTCCGGAAGTACCTCTACAGGCAGCGGCTGGGTGTTCATGGCTGGAACGAAGGCCGTGACTTGGGAGATCGCCGACGACGTGAGTTCAGGAATGCCGTCTACCCAGGTCGAGGCCTGGAACTTCTTAACTTTCAAGTCCGGTGACGCCATTCTCGATATTGGTGCTACCCAAGACATAATAGGGCAGCCGGCCATGGAGGCTCTTGACAAGACTCTTCGAGCTGTTGGGCTTCGCTCCATTGAGATCCCCACAGCTGGTTGTGCCCCGACAGGGATAGGAGGACAAGCACGAGTCGTTAAATCCGTCCTCGTGCCGATTTCCCCTGGAGGGGCCCCGGGCGTCATCAACTTCCTCGTCATCCAGAGCAATGTCCCGCCGCTCTTGTCCGTAGGACTTCTTGAGCACCTAGGAGCTTCCTTTGACTTAGTGACTAACCAGATCTGCTTCGAGAAGATCGGAGTCCAGCTTCGTATGGGAGTACAGACATCTGGGCACAGGACCATCCCGTTGATACAGTGGTCCGGTGGTCATTTTCCAGTGCCAGAGGAGGTCCAGCGCCAGTACAGTCTCTCAGAGAACGCTTTTGATCGTGACGGCGAGGCTCCTTCCCGATACACAAAAGAAGATTCCTCCTCACGAGCTTCTGTTGTGGCGCAGGATGGAAGTAGAGCGGAACATGAAGGGTCAGTTCACGTTTGTTCTCCGGATGTCGCGCAAGTTCACAACAGTTATCCATCCAGTCAAGTTTCCATCTCAGCCGATCCCGAGCCTCTTGAGGAATCTTGTCTTGATTGTGGACAGCATCTTGGCTCAGGAACGCTCCTCATGGGCAACCATTCGGAGAAGCCAAAACCCCAATTCGCTACAGATCCTCATTTGAAGCATGGATCGCGCCTCCCGGCCCGCGCTGACGAAGCCGGAGACCAGATGGAAGGCGTTCACAAGCCGGATCTTCTTCCTCATGGAGACCACAAGGATGATGTTCTGCCGATTGGTTTTGGCCGAACGGGGACAGAAGAGCATCAAGAGCGATCGCCGCTCCTACATCGAGAGCTCGAGGCAGGTTCCCGGGGCGTGCTTGCATCAAACTGCGATCAACCGCGCGAACCAGTACGCCTCTTGGACAGTGTGCAAGGCCTGCGGAGCCCGTCTCTCCTACTCCTCGAAGAAGGGTGCAACCTCCAAGGCAAAGGCCAAGGCTCGCGGCCGGGCAGCGGTCAGCGAGGGCTACCCGATCGAGGAGCCACCGACTTCCTCGACTACCCGGAGGACGAGCACGGCAAGAAGCTCACACGAGAACACGGAGATGAACCCCGCTCTCCTCGACCTCTCCACGGCGATTCAGGCGATGTCCGTCGGCTTCCAGCAGATGAGTTCGGCGATGAGGGATCTCGCCCAAGGCCAGGGACAGATGTTGCAGATGATGACCCACGCGCGTTCGATTCCCGCGAGCGAGATGGACCTCCGCGACCTGACGGCCGCGGCTCACACCATGGTGAGGGAGCGAATGGACGTGGACGAGGAGCTCATCCAGGACGACAGCCCGGGCGGATGGTCTGCAGCAAGTCTCCTCAACCCCAACATCGACCTCTTGGCGGACCACCAGGACTGACCTGGCCCCATTGGATGACACTTTCAGCCTTGTCCTTGGCATCTACCCTGGCTCCGTGGACTCAGCTGTCAGTGTCAGGAAAGGATCTCCTGGGACGTTTTGGTGGCGGTTCTGGAAGCTGGGTGGTCCACTATCCCCTGGATGCTGACGAGGTCTGGAACTCGTCACCGGCGGATGGGCGACCTGATCACCTTCGAGTTCCATGGGTGAAGAAGTACTCCCACGAGGACACTCCCGGTGATTCTCTACCAGTATGGCATGAGCTTTGTGGCGACCGTGGTCAGGTACGACTTCGTGGACCCGGACGACTGGAAGCCCCGACGACTCTCGGAGACTCATCAACTACGAGGTGTTGCACTTGGGCCGTTCCCCGGCGACTTCAACTTCTTGAAGCCCACAGGGATCCTCGAGGCGATGTTGTGGGATTCACCGAGGATGGCGCTAC